TTGATGTGGTTGTGGGAGGATGCGATACTGCATTTACCTACTCCACCATCTTGACCCACCTCTCATATTTTTATTTTAAATTCAACTTAAGGACTATGGGAATTTTACTTTCCCGTATTGATTTTTTTTTCTTATCCTACCCGAGGACATTTTTGCATTTATCTTGAGATAAAGCAGGAGGGAGTGGGAGGAAGAGAGAGAAACATCGGCTGGCTGCCACCCACACAACCCCAACCGGGTCCAGGACGAACCACAACCGAGATACGCACCCTTAATGGGAACCAAACCTGAGCTTCTCTGGTCCGAGGGCCTATGCTCTAACTATTGAACCAAACCAGCCAGGGCTCCGCAATTGATCTTAAATATGTATCTCCTTTTTCCCATTTAAAAAATCCCATTTATCAGTAACATTAACATAGTAATGCTCACTTTCTTCATCTTACACTGTTCACAACAGTCTCAGAATATAATACCTACACCACCATCAGTGATATGATTGCTGAAAACAGACTTTTTTTCAGTTATTTTTTGCCTCAGGATATATCCTACTATAGAAGTAAAGTCAAATTACACTTTTTAAATCCTCTTGAAATGATTCCTCTCTGTTTCATCATCTGAATGCTAATTTAGTTAATTCTTTTCATTTTACTTTCTATTTTAGCTATTCCTTCTTATTGCTGTTAATAGATTTTATTTTATTATCTTGAAATTCATTTTCTCAATAATTAACATGATTCTGTTTCCTTACCTAAAGGACATAGAAATTAATTTGTATCTTTCTTAATACTTTGATTATATATAATAATTGGAAAAGGAGATTTTAATGAAAAGTCAGCAAATAAAAGTAAGTGTCCTTTGTTCTGTTTCTAGATTAATCAGATACTGATTATATACTTTGGTATTGAACTATTATAAAATGCCTATTTTTTTTTGGTTTTGTTTTGTATTTTTCAATAAAGTTTGTAATCCAATGGACACACAAAACTGCACTGAGAAAAACAGTTTCATGAATTAATAAGTGTTAGGAAGTTGTGAGGAGAGGTCAAGGTCACATAGGAAGAGGGAAGCCAGTCTACTTGTAGTTCTCTGTGTGTGAGAGACACTTCCAGATTGTGGGGGCAGGCCTGTGCTGTAACAGTGTACTGATAAAAATGCCTATTCTTTAAAAATTTTTTAACTTGTCTTTTGAAAACAGCTAATATCTGCCATGTCTTAAGATATGCCATTTGTATATAATTTTTTTTTAAATTTTTAAAATTTATTTATTTATTTTTATTAATTTGTTTTTGTTACAGATGTTTCTCCTTTTTCCCCCATTGACACCCTCCTCCCCATCCCCAGCTTTGTTGTCTATGTCCATTGGTCATGCATACATGCATATAAGTTCTGTGGTTTATCTCTTCCCCCCCAACACCCCCTTCTCTGAGGCTTTGTACCCCACCTCTGTGTCTCTGGATCAGTTTTGTTCATCAGTTTGTTTAGTTCATTATATTCCACAAATAAGTGAGATCATGTGATATTTGTCTTCCTCTGCTTGGCTTGTTTCACTTAGCATAATACTCTCCAGGTCCTTCCATGCCATCTCAAAGGATAAGAGATCTTTCTTTTTTTATAGCTGCATAGTACTCTATTGTGTACATGTACCACAGCTTTTTTATTCACTCATATACTGATGGCCACTTGGGTTTTTCCAGATCTTAGCTATTGTAAATAGTGCTGCTATGAACATAGGGGTACATATATTCCTTCTGATTGGTGTTTCAGGTTTCTTAGGGTATATTCCTAGTAGTGGGGTCACTGGGTCAAATGGCAGTTCAATTTTGAACTTTTTGAGGTAACACCATAGTGTTTTCCACAGTGGCTGCACCAGTCTGCATTCCCACCAGAGTCCCCTTTTCTCCACACCCTCGCCAACACCTGTTGTTTGATGATTTGTTGATGGCAGCCATTCTGACAGGTGTGAGGTGATACCTCGTTGTTGTTTTAATTTGCATCTCTTCAATGATTAGTGACGTTGAGCATTTTTTTCGTATGTCTCTTGGCCATTTGTATGTCCTGTTTGGAGAGGTGTCTCCAAACCCAGCTCCTGTGCCCATTTTTTAATTGGGTTCTTTGTCTTCCTTTTGTTGAGTTGTATGAGCACTCTATATATTTTGGAAATTAACCCCTTGTCTAATGCATCATTGGTGATTATGGTCTCCCATATAGTGGGATCCTTTTCCATTTTGATGGTTGTTTCTTTTGCTGTGCAGAAACTTTTTAGTTTGATCAAGTCCCATGTGTTCATTTTCTCCTGTGTTTCTCTTGCCTTAGGTGTTGTGTCAGTGAAAATTCTGTTGCGTATGATGTCTGAAATTTTGTTGCCTGTGGTTTCTTCTAGAATTTTTATGGATTCACGAGTTACATTTAAGTCTTTTATCCATTTTGAGTTTATTCTCGTGTATGGTGTAAATTGGTGGTCTAGCTTCATTTTTTTTTGCAAGTAGCTGTCCAATTTCATTTGTATATAATTTTTACTTTGTGAATATTAGAATTAATTATTTGGGAAATATTTACACTTAGTATGTGTCAGGCTCTGTTAGAGTTCAGCTAAATAGTTGTAAACAAATATCTGTGATCTTTGCTCTCATAAATTTTAATCTTGTGAGGGGAGATAAATGTAAAATCACATCAATAACGAGTTTTAAAAAGTGCTCCAAAAGTAGGTGCTCCTATAATTATTTAAGAGGCACTTAGTGTAGATTGGGGATTTAAGTGGGAGGCCTGAGGAAGTGATAGTCAGGCTGGCCATAGAAGGACAATTAAACTTAGCCGGTGAGGAGTAGTGGCGGGATATTTAAAAGAATTACATTTGAGAGCATTGGCAAAATATAATATAGTAGGTTTAACTTTTGTTTGGTTGATTTTGTTTTTACATGAACACCAGTTCAAATCATCCTGATTACTTTAAAATAGCTCTTCAGATGTATCCTCGGGATACATTCCAAGATATCCCCTCAGCCCCCCAATGGGTGCCTAGAACCACATGTAGTACTAAACCCTATAAATACCATGTATTTTCTTGTATGTATATACTTGTGATAAAGTTTAATTTATAAATTAGGCAATTTCACAGGTAGAAGATTTGTTCTTACCATGGATCTTAGCTACCTTAGCGTATGATTTTTTTCTTTACACATTAAGTTGAGAATTTTCACCTTTTTACTTCAAAGAAGTATTTTAGAGCTCCTTTTTGGCATTTCCAAATTGCTAGCATCACTACTCTTGTGACTTGGGGACATCATTAAGTAAAATAAAGGACTTGAACACAAACGCTGCAATACTGTAGGAGTATGATCCCCAAAACTGTTACTAAGGGACTAATAGGCTGGTAGCACACACAGCTTGGATACCCTGGACTAAGGAACAATTTATGTCCCAGGCATGATGGATTGGGATGGGTGTGTGTGTGTGTGTGTGTGTGTGTGTTTTGATAGTAGCCACGGTAGTGGGTGTGAGGTAATTTAACTTTTCTTAATCTTATTATTGACCAAATTTAATAATATCCTTAGACTTAAAATGCAAATTAAAAAATTTAACAGTCTGTACTCTTTGTATTTGATTAAAATATATGAATTCAATAAATTGTGTTATAATATTTCTTACTATATTATTTATTTAGGGTTAGGTATATCATATTTATTAGTATTATGTGTATTTATAAGATTACTCCTGTTGTCTTAGTGGTGACATAGGAAGGCAATAGCTATTATTTAATATCTTTAATTGACAAGAATTTTAAATGGGTGAAAAATAGTGGGAGATAAGGCAAATGAAGTGTGAGATTGTAAAGAATGTTTTATCTAGCCAAGTACTTTGGACTTGATGCTGTAGACAGTCAGGAAGCTATTTGGGAGATTTTACGTGATGGTGGAGAGGGTACGGTAGAGGATTGATAATGAGAGATATTAGAAAGTGTTAAGTAGTAACGGAATTTGTTGGATTAGATATGAGACAGTGAAAAATTAAGGATAACTCTTTTACATAGGCTTTGGCTCCTGAGTATGTAGGGAGTTAAAGAGTCAGACCAACCTAGATTTAAACCATCAGACTCCGCAAAGCTATTGAGCTTGGGTAAATGTTATAATTTTTACAAAGGCCAGTTTCCTTGACATAAAATAAACATTGTAATTGAATAATACCTAACATGGAGAGCAGGAGGGCTGAGAGGGGCAGAGGTTGTCTGGTTCAGGATTGGGAATTGATAAAACATGGGTTTGGTAAATTGAGTATGCTTTTAGGGATGCTGTGCAAATCAGTGACCATGGGATCAGTCATGAGGTAGCAAAGGGAAGAAATGGGTTCTGGGTGACAGAGCACAAATACATTGGGGAATAGGAAGTATTGACTCAATCTATCAACTTCAACTTCACATATTTATATAGTTTTTACTACTCATTTCTTTTATACTCTATTCTAAATAATCATCTTTATAACTCATTTCATCCCCTTGAGTAAGAGACATATGTACTGCCTTGATCATTGGGAGTACTGAGTAGAAAGCAAAGCGGAGATTGGTTTGCTTGTTGTTAAGAAAATGTCATTTTTACCCAAGGAAGCATAAAATCTGTTAGATTGAAGAAGAGGCGCTTCCTGCTGATCAAGGAGAAGTAGATTATCAGGTGGTTCTCAAGTAGCCACAAATGTGTCAGGATGGAGTGCATCAGCATTAGTGTGTGACAGAGGTGGAAGTCTTGCCGTGCTCCCCTGGTACTTGCATTGTGAGGTGGCACACTATAATTCAATATTGCTGTTGCATTAAGAGGCCCTCCGAAAGTATACGTCTGAAATATTGCTAATAGCAACACTAATTTTCTGCGCTGCTAATTTTCTAAAAGGTGAGGTGTCTTAAAAGTGAAAAATCTTGTTGATAGAAAATATTTTTTATCACTGTTTCTTATACATCATTCACTTTAATTATCAGACTAACATTTTTGTTTTGTGTTTTGTTATTTCAATAGGATGAAGAAAGTATTCCTATTATGTATAGGAATTTACCTGAATATAAGGAACTATTACAGTTTAAAAAGTTAAAGAAGCAGAAACTTCAGCAAATGCAAGCTGAAAGTGGATTTGTACAACACATGGGCTTCAAGGTAAATTCTACTTAATCTTACTATTTATTTAGCTTTTGAAAGGGTAATAAGAGATATTTAAGGTGGTTTCAGATCTTTAAATGCCACAAGTTCCAAGCATACAGGTAAAAGTAAGTTTAGCTTTTGTCCTGTCCATTTATGGAGAGGAGTATGCCACAGTTAGAAGAGAGAAGACAGACATACAGGTTTTTATACTTTGAGGTAGAATGTGAGGTGAGAAGTTTTTGTCTTGCAGTTTCTCTTTTTTACCTTCTAGCTTTACTGAGATATAATTGAAGATAAAAGTTGTATATATTAAAGGTGTAAAAAATTACCTTCCATAGATACCAGTTTTTTGGGGTATGTGGTGAGAACACACAAGATATACTGTCAGCAAATTTTAAATACTGCATACTTGACAATTATTATTAACTATATTCACCATGCTGTACATTATATCTCCAGAACTTATTTATCTTATAATTGAAAGTTTGTACCCTTTGACCAACACCTCCCCACTTTTCCTCTTCCTATCCCCAGCCCTGTCTACTCTCTTCTTCTATGAATTTGACTTTTTTAGATTCCACCTATTAGAGAGATCATACAGCATTTGTCTTTCACTGTCTGGCTTGTTTCAATTTGCCTAATGTCCTCTAGGTTCATCCACGTTGTCAAAAATGGCAAGATTTTCTTCTCTTTTATGGCTGAACAATACTCCATTGTGCACGTGCGCGTGTGTGTGTACGTCCGTGCGTGTGTGTGGCATTTTCTTTATCCATGCACCCACGGAGCTATTTCTCTTTTTGTTACTGTTGTTCCTGGATCAGAAATTTCTTTTCCCTTTCGGATTCAATTATCTTTGCTTATTTTTTCAGGGGCTAGTAGAAATACATTTATTCATTCCATACAATTTTGAAATGCCCATTATGTTTTGGGCACTTTGCTAAGTGCTAGAGATTCAGCAATAAACAAGACAGATTCTGTTTATGCTCTTATTCTGTTTTCATCTCAAGGAGTTCAGAGAAATTAAATAAGAAAATATTTGATAATGACTAGAGTGCATATTGGAGAATAGTGAGGGGCTATTGAGGTGCCTTGGAAATTTTTTTGTTTTTGGTACGTGCCCCTAGCGGGAACCGAACTCCAGACTCTCTGGTCTGCAGGCCGACACTCCAATGGCTGAGCCAAACCGGCCAGGGCTGCCTTGGAAATTTTGCTAAGGAGTTTAAACTTTCCTAAAGGATTGAAGAACTGGATTTCCAGCAGAAAGGAGTAGGAAATTTGCATTTTCAGAAAGGTCATTCTTAAACTATTAGTATTGGTCATCTTTAGGAAGGCCGTAGGTTTAGAGTGGATAACTATTAATTTCTAAACACTATGTTGTTAAATTTTTTAAATAATGTATTCACTTCTGTTGCTTAAATTGAAAAAAAAGTGAAGGAGAAAAAGATTATTCTATCCTTAGTATGGAGAATAGATAGGAAAAAAGGAAGGCCGGAGGCAGGGAGACTGGGTTAGAATCTTTTTGGAGAATTTCCTGAATTTGCCTAGTGGCTGTGGAAATAGAGATTGACAGATTCAAGAACACTTGAGGCATTAGAATGAACTGTACTTGATGGGATTGGAGGATATATAATGAGACTTGCTGGTAGTGGCATACATAAAATACTGATGTATGCTGTGATGGATACATTGAAATTTAAAATAACATTTTTATACCTCTGGTTTTCTGGCGTGGCCATTGCCAGACTATATTAAATGATTTTTTCTCTTGGTCTTTCAGTAATCCTGCTTCTCTTTTAGAGATTTTGATAATTGACAGTTCTGGCCTTTCAAGAGGAAACTTTTCACTTCTCATAAATTGGCTTGTTGGCCTGGTGATCAAAGAAACTAGAAATGAGATTTACTTTGATTTCTAAAACAGCACAGAAAACACTGAGGGCTTCCACATGCCACCACACTGAGAACGAGCTCAGTCTTCCTTTCTTCACGATGGTCCTTGGTCATGAGGACGCTTCGGGTTTTGGTGAGGAATTCAGTAGAAGAAAAGTTCAGAGAGGATTTTGTGTTCACCTGGTAACCGTTAGGTACGATGGTCTGTTCAGTATTCTGTAACAGGTTCGGATCGTTTTAACTGCGGTATTAAGGGATGGTTCTTAATCACAGTCATTGTACACTGGTGTGTGAGGTACCTTTCAAATGAGTGATTAGTAATCAAGTGGCCAAGTTTGTAGGTGATCTACCTAAAATTAAAAAAATTAAGTTAAAACATATTAAAGTTAATTTCTTTTTTTTTTTACCCTCATCCGAGGACATGGTTTTCCATTTTTTTGTTCAGATAGAGGGGGAGAGGGAGAGAGAGGAAGAGAGAGAGAAACATTGACGTGAAAGGGACACATCGAGGGGCTTCCACCCGCATGACCCAACCAGGGCCGGGGACAAAACTGCAACCGATGTACGTGCCCATAGTGGGAACCGAACCCAGGTCTCTCTGGACCGCAGGCCGACGCTCTAACCACTGACCCAAACCGGCCAGGACTAAAGTTTATTTCTTAAATGGATGGAATTTCAGCTAGTGCTAGAAATTGTATCTCACAACCATTTTTGTGTTGGACCACTCTCTAGTGAGTGGGGCGAGAGGAGAGGATGTCTGTGTGCACATCATGTGTTTTCCAGCAGAAAAAACAGTTTGGGAACAATGTAGTTTAATGCTTTTTCTCTCTGAATCTTTGATAGTGTGATAACTGTGGCGTAGAACCTATCCAGGGTGTTCGGTGGCACTGCCAGGATTGTCCTCCAGAGATGTCTTTGGATTTCTGTGATTCTTGTTCAGACTGGTAAGTGTTTTCTACATTGCCGATCTTAAATTTTGACAAGTAAAAATCTCCTTGGCAACTAGTGAATTTGATTTCCAGGCTAAGAAAATCACCATATCTAGTGGGTTAAACTTTGTTGTTCTAAGGCAATAAAGAAATTGTCCTTAATCATTATATGTCTCAAGTAACTTTCCATTAGAGATTTTGATAGATTAATGGATTTAAACCAGTCAAGCTATGAGGAAGTTCTGCAATATCTAGGCCAAAATACATCCACTGCCATGTAATAATAATGTGCTTGTGTGTGTGTTTTCTTTGCAGCCTACATGAAACAGATATTCACAAAGAAGATCACCAATTAGAACCTGTTTATAGGTCGGAGACATTTTTAGACAGAGACTACTGTGTGTCCCAGGGCGCCAGTTATAATTACCTTGACCCAAACTACTTTCCAGCAAACAGATGACATGGAAGAGAACATCATATACTAGTCCTCTTCAACACATAGCAATGGTATCATTGTGAATTATGTGCACAGTTTGGAAAGGTTCTCTGCTTTCCCCGAAATGACACTCACAGCACGACAGCTTCCTGAGTGTTCTCGTCAAGTCCAGCTCTGCCCTGTTGTGGCTCTAGATCACTGTTCAGCAGCTGAACATTCCTGGTGAGCAAAGGGTTTCCTTGGTGAGTTTCTCACCACCACCTTAAAGTCTTCTAGGTGGGCTTAAATAGGTGAGAGGGAAATGAGAGCACACATTAAAAAGTGAGGCAATTCCAAAGGTTTCAAAGAACTTGGTCATAAATATGATAATGAGAAGACAAAAGTATTTATATTAAAACAGTTTAGTAGCTTTCAGTTTTGTGAAAATAGTTTTCAGCACAGAAACTGACTTCTTTAGACAAAGTTTTAACCAATGAAGGTGTTTGCTTCTAGAATATACACTTTAAAAGAACTCACTGTCCCGGTGGTGGCCACTGACGGCCGGTAGTACATTGGAGCTGCTTAACCGTATCGATGTCTAATTTCTTTTAACCACAATGAACTGTCCTCATTACCAACAGGAAGCACTGCAGGGGCAGCGTCACAGGGCTTCCTTCGCCAGCTCCGGGTGTGTGAATGTTATAAAACGGTCACTCAGATATATTTTTTAAATGTAATGTTATATAAGATGATCATGTGATGTGTACAAACTATGGTGAAAAGTGCCAGTGGTAGTAACTGTGTAAAGTCTAATTCACAACATTAATTCCTTTAAAATACACAGCCTTCTGCCTCTGTATTTGGAGTTGTCAGTGCAACTCATCAAAGAAAACTGCCTAATATAAAGATCATATATATGGTAATAATTTCCCTCTTTTGTAGTCTGCACAAGATCCATAAAAGATTGTATTTTTATTACTATTTAAACAAGTGATTAAATTTAGTCTGCACAGTGAGCAAGGGTTCACATGCATTCTTTTATACTGCTGGATTTTCTTGTGCATCATCTAAAACATTTTGTATGTTTCTTCCTATCTGTGTATGCAGTATGTTCTTGAATAATGTTCATTTGTCAGGAGAACTGTGAGAAATAAACTATGTGGATACTGTCTGTTTCTATTATAGAATGCTTGTTGTAACTTCCTTTGGTTAGATTTTGGATACATATATATTTTTTTTTTACCAGTGTTGAAACAAACAAACAAAAAAATTTTTTAAGGGTTTGCTTTACCTATCTGTCCCTTCAAAAGAGTAAGGACTCTATTATGGGAAAGAGGGTGAACTTGAGAAGCTCTGTAAACGATGGTCCTGTTTTCACTCAGTGTGTGCTAAAAACTAAATTAAACCAGGTTACGAAAGAGCACATCCTAGGGTCAAAGAAAAAGGCAATTGTGTTCAGATAGGAAAACTAAACAGGTGGAAAATTTTACTCGTTCTTTTTGATGAAAATAAGCCCCCCATGTATTTAGTTTAAATAGGTGTTTTTTGAAAACCACTGTATTCCTTGAAAATTAGTGACTATTGGAAAAGACAATATAAATATTCTAAGATTATTCATTATACTGACCCAATTTTGAGACTCTGCTGTTATTTTCTAACTTTAAATCACGGGAACATCATTTACAAGTCCTCTTTAACACATTGTAGGGTACTAAAACCATACCCTGAATATTTTTAATTCAGAAAAGTAATATAATTTTAAATACAGAAACAGGATTTTAACATAATATATTAATTAAAAATTACGATGATGTTGATAAAATATATCAGAAAGGAAAGGAAATGGACTTGAACATAACTTCTCACCTTGAAATGATTAGTTGGGGGATAAAGAGGGGAATTATTAGAATCCTGGGCATTTTGATATTAAATGTCAAGTGAACATTCCAGAAGGTCTGTCTTCAGCTTGTAGCCAGGCAGCACCACTGGATGGCAACCTGCGTAACTTCTGTTTGCATAGAAGTAATACTACTTAGTTTTGGAGCACCGTTCAGGGCCATTCAAACATCCCATCAAGGATGAGGTATGCTTTGGAAGAGGGCTTTGAATGACATAAACAGAATAAACAAAATAAATCCACTTAAATGTATTTTTTAAGGGCAAAGATTTTTGAGAAATTTGAGTAGCAAAGAGGATTATTTTCTGCTTGAGCAAAGATGTATTTGTTTTGCATTTTCTCCAGCTCCAGGCAAATAGTCCTCATACTTTTAAAAAACCCTGCAGGGTAGTAGTCGTGGTAATGGTGGTGGTTTGATTTGAGGACTCAGGAATGGGCAGGGTAGGCCTTCCATCTACGAAGCAGCATGGCCATAAGAAACAACAGAGACCCGCTTGTTAGAGGGCTACTTGTTCCGTAGCATTCAGTAGGTCAGATGTAGTATTTCCTGAAATAATATGCTCAAAGTATTTGATAAGAACTGAAGGAACTTTTAATGACACCTTAAACCACTGCATTAAGGTTCGGCAAAGGAGGTTTTGATGGGTGAGATGTGCACTAATAATACTAGTGTTTACTGTGTGCCAAGCAGGAGAGAGGAACAGATTTCATTCTCACAACCTTATGAGGCAGGCTTATTTATTCTGTTTTCATTTGAGGAAATCTAGTCAGAGAGGTTAAATAACTTGCCTGAGGTTGTGTTGTATCGTTAGTACAGTGGTGATGCTCGGGTTTTAACCTAGACGGACTGCTCCGCCGGCAGCGCCTGCCTCATGGCCCTGTCCGCCTTCGAGTCAGGCGGCAGGCGGCACTGAGGTGGTGGAGGTGGCGGTGCGCAGGGGTTGCTTTTTAGTTCTTTTTTCCTGCTGTGGTGTGGTTCCTAAGTACAAACCTGAGACATGCCCCGGTTTTTAGCAAAGATTGGAGAAGCACTGTGTGCGGATGAGGGAAAAACACTGACGTGGTCTGCTGTGATGAACAGACCTTGAAAGCACACATACACAGAATTTGCATATTCCAACTCGGCAGCAAACGTGTGGCCTGAGGCTTTAGGCAGAGCTGGGACTAGGCTTGCGTCTCCGGCCTCGGGAGCATTTGTTTCCCAGCGTGCTTGGTGCCTCTCACTTAACCTAACGGTATGCCTTGTCCATTTGTGAACAGTAATTTACTGAAGTACAAGGAACATTTTTTTAAAAAGAGAAAATAGTACATCACATGTTGTAAGGATAAACGTTTTGTGAAATGTCCATTTTTTAGTTATAAACATAACATGGCATGCTATATAAACTATATTTTACTGTGGATAGCAAAGTTGCTTATTTTGTTAGTGTTTTGTTGTTGTTGTTGTTTTTTAATCCTCACCCAAGGATATTTTTCTACTTATCTTCAGATAGAGCGGGAAGGAGGGAGACAGAGAGAGAAATACTTTGTGAGAGGGACACATTAGCTGGCTGCCTCTCACATGACCCCGATTAGGGCCGAGAATGAACCGCAACCAGGGTACGTGCCCTTGACCAGAATCGAACCCTCGACTCATTGGTCTGCGGGCTGATGGTCTACCACTGAGCCAAACCTGCCAGGGCAAGAGGAAGACCATTGTCCTAGGTGCACTGTTTGGGACTGGAAGTCTGGATGACAAGCAGGGGTTTTCACAAGGTCATGGAGGCATTGTCTGTTTTAGGCTGTAAAGTATTTGTTCTTTAAACAATATTTTTATTGATTTTTAGAGAAGAAGGGGAGAGAGAGAAACACTGATGTTCTGCTTTCACATTGATTGGCTCTCCTGCATGCCCGCTACTGGGAATCGAGCCCGAAGCCCAGGCATGTGCCCTGACCAGGAACCTAACCATGCCCACCCAACTGAGCCACACCAGCCAGGGCTGTTTTTAATATCTTACCTGGATGAAAAATATACTTCTGTTTAATGATCTCAGAAGAGAGTATAACTTCTTTCATGGTTCGTGCAAGCTCGTTAAGTGGATTATTGAGAGTGGTGTCACATTCATCTCCATGAGGACAGAGGCTGTCCATGTCGGTCTGGTCCTGGGGCCTGGCTCTTAGATCTCAATAAATCTATTTTGTTGGTAGTATGACCCGTGTTGTAGTGAATTACATTTTTCTCTGGGAAGGTAAGAGACATCCTCTCTCCCTGAGCATGTCGGTGGGCCCGTGGAGGGTTCGCCGCAGGAAATCTTGAGAGGACTGAAGAATTGTGTCCCATCTTCTCTGGAGGATGTCGTTGCCTTGGTGGCTGAGAAGATGTTGGTTTTCTGGGACCCCAGTTGGGCATGTGTCTTGCGTCTCAGCCATGGTTTTAGATGAGTGTGATGGGAGGGGCACTGGAGTGGAAGTGCTCGGTCCGAGTCCCAGGTGTGGAAGCGAGGCACCCAGGAGCCACTGACAAAGACCACCCTTCACTGAGCACCAGGAACTAGTGAGTAATGGACATGCGTTCTTTTTTTCTTTTTCTTTTCGTTTTTTGTTCAGATAGAGTGGGAAGGAGAGAGAGGAAGAGACAGAGAGAAACATCGCTGCTTAGTCCTCAGGACACCTCTGGGCTGCTTACTGTTAGGCTCTCCACTGTATAGATAAGAGAACTAAGGTTTAGAGGAGTATACATGCTACCTTCAATAATGATTGCTGTGTGTGGGGTGGAGAATACAAAGCCTTCCTGTTACGGAGCTTATTGGTCTAACGCAGAAGACCAACACTAAAACACGTGTAGTTTCAGGCAGAGATAAATGTCGTGAAGAGAAATAATGATTGAAGGAAAAGGATGGATGAATGGGGACCAGGCTATCATTTTAGATCGAATAATGAAAAACGCCTCAATGACAAGGGTAGGCTTGAGCAGAGACCTGAATGGAGGAGGGGATGAGCCCTGCAGACAGGAACAGGCAGGAGGGCAGCAGCAGCAATGGCCTGACCAGTGACGAGCTTGGCTTGTTCAGGCAGTGCTGAGTGGGCTGTTGCAGAGTTAGCCCCACGAGCAAGAACAGAGTGGTAACGGGTGGGAGGGTACAGGGCCAGGTCAGGTGAGGCCTGGAATGTGGACCATAGTAAAGGAATTTGGGTACACACAAACGCTTCTACCAGTCACAGACCACGAAGGTCCGCTCCTGCTTTAAAAGCCTGACTTTAAAGTTGTGATGTCATTTCGAGCCATTCAGATCAGTGATGTGTTTTAGCAGCCCCACTGAAGACTTGATTTGTACCTCTAGCTACTCTTCAGGGACAGCGCCATCTACCCCTGCTGACTTTCTTCACGAGAGTAGCCAACTCCAGTCCGCTGCCCTGCTGTCTCGCGTCACTTACCCTAGCTGGCAGAGCTGTGGTGGCACGGACTGTGTTTGCCAACATGTGGTATGTGTTTAAAGAATGTTAATCCCCACCAAGAGTCATTTTGCATTTTCTGGCACACCTGATCATTTTCATCCTGTAACTGTCTTCTAATTTGCTCAAATACACCTTGTGCTCCCCTAGCAAGTGTGTGACAACTTGGGGTAGTAGTAAAGTATTTGAGAACTGTGTGCATGGTAAGAACATGCCCCTTTTTGTTAATAGAGGCATAATTGTAACCAAAGAAATTTAATTTCTTCTTTAGAAAACACTGACATTTCTGTTTAAGAATGACTGCTAGAGGAAAAGGAAATAACGAAAATTACCATGTATCGTGAATATACTGAGAGTTCTCTGTAATAGCTCACAACTGATCTATGGCCAAAATTAAAACCATATGAGCATATCATGAATCTCAACTATTACTGTATTTGCTTCTAATTCTGTTTGGAATAAGACTTCACATGCTTTCCAGATGATGTGAGTTACAAATAAATAGAAAAAGAGTTATCCTGTGTTCTATTTACTTTATTTGTACATATCCATTTCAAGAAGAAGAAAAAAAAGACTTTAAAAATACATTTTTTGTCCCAGAAATGGATTTTATCTGCACAACCACTGGAGGAAAAAAAAAATCATGCAAACTGAAACGATGGTTTTTTTGTAGTGACTGACCAGAGGAAGATGCGGTTATTTCAGTAGAACACATAAGAAGCTCTGATTCTGGCAACTGATAGCACAAAAGAGAACCCAAACTTCACTGGTTTTATGCGAGGAAACAGTTTTACATTTGGATAGGATAAGGTTTGCAAACCCCTGGAAAAGGCCGGATGAAACAAATACAGTATCAGGATCTGTTGAACATTGTGTACTGACATGCTCCTCCCACCCACATCACTTTTATTACTGTTACTGTAATTCTTGTTTGGCAACAGTATTAAATAAACAGGTGATCATTTAAAATCAAAACTATAAATTGATATCAATCCAGTGAATGCAGTAATAAACCACCTCATGCTTTTAAATTATGTTTGGCAATTGGTGTTAGTGTATAACTGCCAAAATGCACCACCAAGTATACAAGAGGTCAGACAATTTTCTCCAGTTTGTTCTCTTGGCCATTATGACAGTATTCCAAGTAGCCAGTTTCATAAAAATGAAGAGAGAGAAGTTATTGGTGACTAGTCTGGGTTTTGCTGTCTTGGGAAAGCTATACAATTTCACATTTTAATCACATTTTTCAGATTGATTCAGATGTCTAATAATTGGCTTTGTCAACCTTATCTCTCTGGCTCTGAGCTACAAGTGGATAAGACTTGAGGAAGTAGTTACCAGAGGAAGATGCCTTGGCTTGCCCCCACCCCCCACCCCCATACTAAGGGTCTTCATGAGGCAACAGCATGTAAATGTTGGGGAGAGGAAGGAAGATATGATGGGGAAGTTAGGGATGCTAACTAACTCCCTATTTGATGAGAGGAACCAAATGATCAGACTCTAGCAAGTGCTGAGGCACAACTAACAGACTGGCACTGCACTGCCGTCCACATACTAACAGCGCTGAGGTGTGACCTGTGTGACAAAAGGGTGTGTGCTGTGAGTACACACAGCTGTCTGGGTTGTGAAGAGGCTGGGTAATACCAGATACACCATGCGTAGTTTCCAGAGGCCTCCGACAGGTCAAGCTAGGAAGCAAACAGCAATGTTGGGATTTGGGGATGGACACAAGAAGTTTAACCTGAAACATACTGTTAAGATAGTAACCTTTTAATATTTTTCTCTGTCTCCACTCTCCCTAACATACATGCATTTTGTCTTCAGAAAATAGAGTCAATGGCTCTGCAGAGTTGAAGAAAAACCTCCTCTGGTGTCCCCTCTGCATTTATCTGTATTTAAAAGGAAATAAGAGAAAGTTAGTCTTAAGAAACATTTGTAAATAAGACCATTTTTAATGATACAATTTTGCCTGCTTATAACTTGCTGTGCAAAATTTTCAAGCATAAGACAGCAAAACCAAGAAAGGGAGCCATTCAAAAAGTAAGTGCCTAACGTGAAACAACAGTGAGATGCTACTCCACACCTACGTGACGGCCAGAATTCCAAACGCTGACACCACCGCATGCCGGCGACGACGTGGAGCAGCAGGGACGCTCCGTCGCTGCAGGACGCAGAATGATCACAGCCACTTTGAAAGGCAGTTGGGCAGTGTCTTACAAAATTAAACACTCTTACCATATGATCCAGCAATTGCACTCCTTGGTATTTACCCAAAGGAGTTGAAAACATGTCCACACAAAAACCTGCACGCTAATGTTATAAGAGCTTTATTCATAATTGCCAAAGCTTTGAAGCAACCAATATGTCCTGCATTAGTTGGACAAACATTCAGACAATAGAATATTATCTAGTGCTCAAAAGAAATGAGTTATTAAGCCAGGAAGGATATGCAGGAAACTTAAATGCATATTACTGAATGAAAGAAGCCGATCTGGAAGGGGACATATTAGGTGCCATTCTGAAAAAGGGAAAACCGTGCAGACAATAAAAAGACCAGGGGTCGTGGGGAGAGGAGTGAGTAGGTGAAACGCAGGACTTATGCCGTGAAACCAGTCTGTATAATGGTGGGTGCATGTCATACATTTGTCAAGACCCACAGAAACTGGGCTTTTGTGATCATGCTATGTTTATCTAGGTTCACAGACTGTAACAA